CATATATGTGTATGAACAGGCAGCATCCTCTTTATCATCAGTAGGAAATGATATGTCCCTGGTTTGGGTCATCCAATAGGGCCTAACTGCACCTACCTTCACTTGGCAGTTCTCCCGTATTTTGTCTGTGTAAAGACCCCTAGGTCCACTCGACTTTCATTACTGAGATATCCAGCAATGGAACCACCAAGGTCCAAATTTCTCTGAGCCCTTGGGAGCATCTTACCGCTGGAGGTGCTGGTCCAGAGCCTCCTCCTCAGCACTCAGCAGGGTTGCAGCTCGAGCCAGGAGCTGATGGCTGCAGCTGGCAGATTTGAGCTCCAGGATGAGGAGGCCCAAGCAGAACATGGCTCCCATCTCCTCCAGTTCTCTGGTACCAAACTGTAGACCCTGCCAGTTAAACAAAGCATTAACCATGACAATGTATAATGGGAGCTGAGTGGAGACACATGAAGATTGGGAAGAAGGACTCCTACACACAGGCCTTTTTCAGACAGTGAGAATTAATTATATTTGTCAGTCGCTGTCCATTGTGTTCTGTTGTGTGCATTGTGGATTGGTGGTGATGTCAACATCCAGGACTCCCCAGAAATACCCCCATGACAATAATGAGCTGGTAGGGGTTATAAAGGGAAGTGGGGTGCATGGAGATCCAGGAGTCTGTCCCCTTCCCACACCATGGTCAAAGCAGCAATGCTTTTATCTGTATTTTTACAACGGTTTTTCACTGCTGGAAAAAAAGTTCATAAACAATCTTACTAAGAGATGCCTTTTCCTTCCTCTGAATTTATCAGCCAATGGAGAAGAGTAGGGGAAATCTTTCATATATAAATACTGAACACTGAAACTTTAAAAAAAAAAAAAAAACAGCATTCATTTAGAACCCCCTATTCAGCTGTACTCAGATATCCATGAAAGCAAAATCATGACATGTACTCTATAGTATAATTCATGAAGAAACAGATAATAATAACAATTGACAAAACTTAATTGATCACTTACTGCATGCCAGATAACCTTCTGTGCTTTTTGATTTGCATTAACTCAGTGGATCCTTACCAAAGCCCTATGAGGTAGAGATTGTTCTTTTTTCCATTCCACAGATAAGGAGATGCAGACTTATCAATACAACTAACTTATCCAAGGCCTAGCATCTAGTAAGCACCAGAGGCTAACAAATAAATTCAGGCCTGACTACTCAACATAAAAAGCTGTGTAGCGACTATAAGAGACTCCATAGTGGTGAGCTAGAAAGTGTGTGGTTTTTGAAGTTAGATCAGACTTAAGTGTGAATCCTGGTTTCACTAGTTTCTAACTGTGGGGGCTTGGGCTCAGTGAATGCTATTTGCCTTGATTTTCTCATCTGTAAAATGGAATCATAATTCTCCCTTTCATACCTAGGCATCTGGTGATAAGGAATATTTCACAGTCACAATATTGATCAAAATTAGCTCAATTTATCTTTCTCTCTTCCTATAAAGATATTTAATACAACAGAATTCAGTGTGGTCCTGAGGCCTTCCTGTTTATAAAGTACATTTGACCTAAATAAAAAGTAATCGATAGTGAATCATTTTTTTGCAAATAGATTTTCACATCCAAATAATAATGATTTATTATGGAGGACAGGAATGGAGCAATAAGAATGCAAAAGGATTGCTCAAAAGCACCCCAAGGAGAAACAAAATTCCAAATTGGGAAATTGTAAACCTCACAAAAGAATTCCTGGCTAAAAGCACTTAAAAGGTAGAAAATCCTCAAATTTATTTCAGCTGTTTGAAAATTTGATTTGCTGCATGTTTTGACACCTGTTTTCCTAAAGAAAGGAGACATTACTTCAGAGTTAAGGGAAGTCAGTTCCTCCTTAAGCGACAGCAGCCAGAAGGGAAAGACAGATGTTGAACAAGTTGTTTTTTTTCTTAAGTCAATAGAAAAGATCACTTTTTAAAGAGAGAGAAATCTCAGTCTCTTTTCTACAGCTCCAAGGTCTGATTCTTTCCCCACCCCTTTTTCCAGGTTACTTTTATAAAATTCTAGAATGGCTGGCTTGGTTGGAAGAAAGTGAAGGTCACACCCTCCTGCTCAGTCAGCCACCTCACAGATGGCAAAGGAGAGGCGAGGAAGACTCTCCTTTGTGAGAGTAAGACTCTGGCCCTCAGGGGCAGGAGCACTCACAGACACATTTGCAACCCCAGCCTCCAGCAGACACATAACAGGTGCTCTGTAGAGGTTAAAAGAAGGAGTCCTTCGGGAAAATAAACCTCAGAGTGTATGCCATACTGGTAGGTTAGGGAGAGTTCGTCATACCAGACAACTTCTATACAATAACAACTAAAATGATAGTATTTTATAATGTAAAAAAATTTGATGCCCCAGATGATGGCCCACATATTTCAGGTCATGGTTGTCATTGTAACAAGTAGTCCAGAAGACCTTGATTAAAGGAACTTGTACCACTTTATTGGCTGTGGAGACTTGGGCAAGGCCCTTATATTCCATTTTGCACTTCACTATTAATCTCTCTTTACTACTCTATTTTTTTCTTTTTACTCTCACATGGTATAAAACATATTTGAGTATTGTATTTGTTTTTGATTTGTTTTGTTTTAGAGAAAGGGTCTCGCTCTGTCACCCAAGCTGGAGTGCAGTGGCGCTATCACAGCTCACTGCATCCTTGAACTCCTGGGCTAAATATATTTGTTTATGTAGATGACCTCCCTTCACACCCCATCACTGGTGTGGAAGAGAGCTTTTCAAAGGCAAAGACTGAGGAGTATGTTTCTTCCTTTACATCCCTGGCATGGAGCACACACCTGTCAAATGTCATATCCTCAGTATGTGATAAATGGATAAATAACGACTCTAAATGAATGTACGTGGAGAGGCATGGATGGATTTTTATCTCTCAGATGCATATTGTATCTGTCAAGTAGAACTTGACTTCTCTGGGTTTGGGCACGTGAGTGCCTTTAAATCTTGCTCTCCCATTGTCAAATGTTGTGAGCATTAAAAATAAAATTGATTTTATTTTGACTCCAGGAGACTTATTCATATCTCTGGATATAAACTGGGAAACAGGTAAATAAAATTTAGAAATTTTGACCTCCACTTTGGTCAGTTATCATAGGTTCACAGTAGAAAGCTGATGAATAAAACTGGCTCTGGGTATGTTTAAAAGTGAGTATAAATAAAATAGAGATCCAATTCCCTTCTCACCCAGCTCAGATGTCTTAATTAGAAACTTTTTCCACAGATGATAAAACAATGTCTGACTATAGTGACTTAAACAAGGTTTTATTTTGCACAAAAATAAATTTGAGGGAAAGGTAGAAGGTTCATGGCCTATAGGTCCCTATCTCTGCACAGTATTAGTAAGCAAGGCTAACCAGCACAACCCTCTCTGTGTTTTTTAACAGCTTTTCTTGATAACTCACCAGAAAAGAAGAATAGTTATGTTAGATATCTGTAAGACAAACATCAGGTCCAAAAAAGATGTTTAAATAGCACAAATACTGATAATTGGTGTGCAAAAGAGAAAAAAATAAGCAAATGTGGGAAAATGTTCCATTTCATTATTTAAATAAAAATGCCTTCTACACTCTGCAAATTGATAGACTATTACATATATAATATATATACAATATTCTCTTACTATATTATATAAGCTTGCTATATAGTGCGTGTGTGTGTGTGTGTGTGTGTGTGTGTCAGAGTTTCGCTCTTGTTGCCCAGGCTGGAGTGCAGTGGCATGATCTCGGCTCACTGCAACCTCTGCCTCCTGGGTTCAAGCAGTTCTCCTGCCTCAGCCTCCCATGTGGCTGTGATTACAGATGCCCGCCACCACGCCCAGCTAATTTTTGTATTTTGAGTAGAGACAGGGTTTCACCATGTTGGCCAGACTGGTCTCAAACTCCTGACCTCAAGTGATCCACCCACCTCAGCCTCCCAAAGTACTGGGATTACAGGCATGAACCACCACACCCAGCATATATTTTAAACTTAATAATACTTAGTGCTGACTCTCATGCTGAAACTGGCACATATCAAAATACCTGGTGGAAGTGTAAATTGATTGAGACCTTCAGGGCAGTGGCCCCGTAACATTTGACATGGTAATGTCACTTCAGGGAACCCTTCCTAATAAACTGAACCAAAATAAAAGGGAAGCTATAGGCATAAAAATGTATATTATGACAGTATTATATATAATAATCCAAATTTGAGGGAAATAAAACCATAAGTGTCTAATAGGGGAGTAATGACTAAGGAAATTGTAATGGAATAAATTTGATGGACTATAGGGAAGCTGTTAAAATCATAATTATAATAACCATTTAGAATATGAAAAATGGTTATGATTTAAATAAAGTTGAATAAAGTCAAGGTACAAAGCAGGCAGTCATACAATTTTTGCCAAAGGTTTGGCAATGAAAGCAGAGGTGATGATCCTCAGACCCCACTCCCCTCCACCCACACTTTCAGACTTTATTGCTATAGTTTGCCAAGAAAACGTAAACATTTCCAGGAGAAGAGGCTCTATAATATCATCAAGAAAATATCTACATAGTTCAGAAATTTTAAAGAATACTTTAAGAAATTATTGCAACCTGGAAAAAATGTTTTGAAGATTATATATGCATACAAATGAATGATGGAATTCAGGTTAGCAGTTTGTAAAATCTTCTCTTTATCTTGGATTTTCTGAAGTAGATTTAAATTTATTTTCATTTCTTTTATTTGGGATTTATTGATAGGATAATTAGTATGTTTCAATAATTCTAGAAAAATGTCATCCATGATCTTTTTGAATATTGCCTCTCCCTTATCTCTGTCAAGGAAATCAAATATAAATTAATATTCAACGTATGTTTTCTATTTTCCCTTTGTCCTCCACATCTTTTAACCTTACTTTCTTATTTTCTATTTCTTTGTTTCACTGTAGTAAATTCTGATTTTTCTCATATTTTTGTTCCATATTAATAATTCTTTCTTCAACTAGATTGAATCTACTTGTAAACTCATTCATCTCAAAACCATTTCTAAAAAACATATAACCGTGGTTATTTTATATTACCATAACTGATTATTCCTGCATATGCAGTGTTGATGGGCATCATTCATTAGTTTGATTTTTCTGTTGAGTGTCAATAGTATAGGCCTGTTTTCTCAATTATTTTATAATTTTTAAAATTCTAAACGTATTTTTTTTTAATATTAAAGTCTGTTTTTGTAGATTGGTGTTAGTGCTCTTTTCTTCATCTAGAACTTTTGTTTTTCTCCCCTAAGTACTTGAGGACACTGCCAATCAGAAACCACTACAGACAGCATTTTTGGCTTGAGGCCTGTTGGGCTACAGGGACATGTGAATTGTGATTCCAAATCTGCTTGAA